TGCATCGGACTTCAGTCTGCTATGCTGACAGTTTAGTCAAGAAGAGTGGTTTTTTGGGTTATGCAAAGAATTAGGGTTAAAAAAGGGGGTTTTCCTTGAAAAAATGTTTTCAAGCGCCGAGGACGATAGAGAAATTAGACGAAATTGCAAATAAACGAATGGGGTGCGGTACGCCGAATTTTGCACATCTGAGGCAAAATCAGTTTCCACCATAAAGAAGATATGTGAGGCGTAGAATATCAATCAATACCTTCACTCGGGACTTCATTACAATGCTATTTTAAAGGAGGTTAACAGAGGCAGATGAAGGCAAATACGTTGAAGAACCGAGTAGCGGCATGCTGATAACAACCTACAAAGAATACTACTCAGTAGAAAGCTGAAAAAAAAAAAAAACTTACGATTTGCCGACATTGGTGCAGCCCACTATGTACATATCATTCCGCAGGGTGTCACGAGTTGAAAACCTCAGAAAGATATTCTGAAAATTCAAATATTTCGAGTAAATTGTGAGCAAGGTGTCCAGGCAGCAGCAAATGGTGCTTACTGTAATGAGATCCTCGACACCATAACCGGTTTTCGCGCTAATCAGCGATGTATGAAGAATGTTAAAATTGTCGGTAAGTCCAGTTTCCTTCAGTGCACTGTACAGAACTCGTCGAAAATGATGCAAAAAACCGAGCCGAGCATCGGGCGGTAATAAATCTACTTTGTTTCCTGTAAAAATTACCAAAAAACTTCGTGCACTTTAGCCCGTATCAGATGAAATTAGATAAATTAAACTCAGAATTGATTTCTGAAGTGATGATATTTTGGCATGTTTTGCAGAAAATCATTCTGATCCTTGGTCGCGATTTTCACATTTTTACCATTAGATTTTCTCTGGGCATTAGTCATTAGTCTTTCTCTGTATCACCTGAACGTGTGCACCTGCCCTACGGCTGATTTATGAAAAAAATAATATCTGTGAATGTTTGAGTGCGCCAGGGAAGTGCAGGAATAACAAACAGAATAAAATGAGGAAAAGAGCTGGCTAAAGTAGCAAAAGCAAAGACGAAAGGGCAAAAATGTCCATGCGAAATGTGAGCAGTCGTTTTTCACCTTGAGGCAACCATGACACAGGTAAGTTCTCTTATTGCGGCGAAGAAAGTAGGCACCTCCTTTTCCCGCCCACCCCTCGACCTTCCCCGTCCCCTCCGCCCCTTGCCCCTTCTTTCATACCCGTTCCCTCTGCCCCCTTCTCCTAT